CAAACATTTTTTATCTCGAAAATTCCTATTCAAAAGTTAAATAACAATTTAAATAACTGTTACAATTTATATTAGAACTTCTCGTGCTGATGTGGCTAAATAATTTTGATGAGAGAACCTCTTGATATTTTTTTATAGTACAAAGAAGGAAATTCATTAAATTTTTTCCTTGAAAATTTAAAACCACATAATATATTTCCACATCCCCGATAAAGACTATCAACCGGAAAACTATAGACTGATAAACATAGTTTCCCATAAATCGACATTTAAAACGCATATCTTTGAAGTAGAGATAAAATTGAATAATATTTCCTGAAGGAACATTACTCCATTTTTTGTTTCATCTCCAAAAATCAGACTAATGAGAAAAATGGGGGAAAATAAAGGGGAATTATAACGAAAATATTAATATCTCCAGGCCATCTCTCCTGAACTCATGACCACATGATGATGAAATTATCTGAAATCTCGTTAAAATTCTATGAGACTAATGGACGCAAATGAGAGAAAATATCCACATATACATACGTATGACATTAATCGTAATTAGAAAAATCCATTTCTGATTTTTTTAAACTGAATTCTCCTGGCCTCATCCGAATATAGACATCCACCCAAAAATTTCCACTTGCCTAAACATTTAAAATCACAAAAAGATTGAAAAAGAAGAAATGGAATAAAAGTCCACACAAATGAAAATATTTCACTAGTAATTTCCGTAAATGAGCAGCTCTTAAATTTTGACAGACCAATAAATAAATGAGTGAGAGAGTATAAAATATAAACTGACAACGAAGGATTATTGGAGGTGAAAATGTCTACAGCATCCCCATAAAAGCAGACAGAGCCCACATAACCAGAATTCCGGAACGAGCTCGTGACTTAATTGAATCCCTAGTACATTACCATCCTGGCAACAGGAGATGTATACATCGTAAAAGGAAATCACCAGTGCGCATAGTTCCAGGGCAGTATCCTCGTCATCTCGCAGTCAGCATGACCTATACTTGATTTGCCTGTGATAACGCACTCAGTGATACGGTAATCTGACCACATATACATGCATGAGGAACTTGGAGCCACTGGTTTTGAAAGTGGAGGGTCTGCCCCACCGCAAAAGCACCAGAGACACTCCAACGAGACCAAACCATTCCGATTTACCGCAGTCACCGGCTGTCCGCTCTGTACACCACACCGTCGTCACTTTTACCAATATCCACAGTACAACGTGATCACTCTATTATTTTTCATCAATTATTTGTTATTTATCCTGATTCGTGATCTTGTGATTCACCCTATCGAACTTCTCTCTGATAACATTCGTTCTGGATAATTGTTATAAATCATCGATCGAGATATGATAGGGAGTCGATGTACGTGCAAGTTCAATTTTTATTAGAGGTGAGTGTTTATTTACATTTCTGTCATTCAATCATTTTATTTTATTTTTATTTGTTGCATTTTTATTTGTGTTTGGTGGTTTGAGAGCATAAGTTGATTGGGGGTCGAGGGAAATTTATGATTTTTCGAGTGGAATGGGAATTTTTTAGGTGAATGGAAACATTCCGATTTTTGTTGAATCGTGGAAACTGAAAGGAATTGAGGGTTTCTGTTGGGGTCAATAGTGGAATGATAAAAGATAACAGAATGTGTCGGTACTCTATTCTGGCAGATGCTGGATTATTTTAGTAAAGAATGATTTACGTGGAAAATAGGGGAGAACTTCTGGTCGCACTACAAAGTTTTCTCGTTCGGGAGATATTAGTTTTGGGGATGAATTCGTAACGAGGGACAATGTAAAATTCGTGTTTTGGGGTTCTACCACTCCACTCGGGCATTAATCATGAAAGGTAATTGAATTTTCAATTCAACTCTGTTGAAGTTCCAATTCAATGTTGAGTCCGATTTTTCCTCAATTACTTTCTTTGTACTATCTTTCAACAAATCACACAATCGCATCATAAAAGGAAAATATTTTATACAATCCAGTTGAATTATTCCTATTGATTGCTTTAAGAATTTTTTTTCGCAAATTCGAGAGGAATTATTCGTGGAGTCATTAAAAAAATACGATGATGAATTCATGGAACTGAGGTCGATCTCGAGGAATTCAATAATTATTACATGTTGAACCAATTCTATCAGTTTGAAATTAATTATTCAAAACATGTCGAAATTGAACAGATCTCGATTGTCTCATTTTTCAATTTTACTTATAACTTCAATATTCAATCAATATTTAATCAACTCAATGTATTTTAATTTGTCATAAAAATTGACATCTAACTATTATTTTTTTACGTCCTAATTACGAACGACAGTAAGACGAGTAATTTTTATTGAACCATTTTCTCTGGAGATAGCCCAGAATATCTGAGTTTTAAATACAAAACATCAACAATGAAGTAATTAATGCAAATTCATTATCGGAAACTGTGATTGATAATTGGAAGTGCAAATTCTTTTAGATATTCCTCATTCCTCGTTTTGTTTTATTATCGTAATTCGCATTTGTATACAACAGAGGGGACACGCAGAATTATGCAAGAAGTACGCACTCTGTGGTTTACTTGAAATTGCTTATAATCACGATTGCCGT